TCTTCACTCAGGATCATGTCTTCACAGCCTGTGCGTACACTCAGACTCCTAGTGTTTCTTCCCAGATGATCATCTGTGACTCCAGGTGCTTGTGTTTTACACAGATCTTCATTCCATAGTCCTGAGATTGTCCGTGTGGACCTGGGGAATTGTCTCAGCACAGTAGACCCCTTCTCCATGGGAAGAGACCCCTGTGGAGACCAAATACAGCAGGGCACTGACCCTGTCTACACTCCGTTTCCCTGTGTGCACACACTTCCATGGTACAATTGCTTTATTGAATAAAAAACAGTCAGAGAGGAACTGGAACTAATAATAAAGAGAATAATGATGACCGTGTGGTAGAAGATACATAACATCTCTATCTATCCATCTATCTATCTTTATCTCTCTCCCTTTCTCTCTCTCTCCCCTCCCTCCTCTGACCTTCACTCGCACTTTATAAACTGATGAGCCCTGGGAAATGGATGTTGCAGACTTATGGGACCTTAGATCTGATAACCGTTGACTTCTGAGTTCCTCAGTCCTGTGCAGTGCGGGCAGAGGGTGATTCTCACGGCAGAGGTCCACACTGGAGATTCTAGGTTTCATCATTGTTCAGTACTGTGGAGAATAATTAAACTTATAATTTTTTTCTGTGAATTTTGACTTGATGTCTTCAAATCTCAACCGAACACAACTGAAGTAGAAAGTGAAAGCAGAGGTGAGCAGGGCCTCCTTCCTGCAGGGAGAGTCACATATAACACAGTGTGTCGAAAGTGCTTAATCAGAGCTGTAAAAACTCCAGTCACCTCCCGATGCAGGTGTCCACAGCAGCCCCGCACCCTCCAGGACTCCGACAGCACCTGTTTCCGTGAACATTCATTTTTAGTGATTTGTGTATTTCACCTGGAATCTTCATGCTCCCAGGTTTCATCCTGACTGAGGGGCAGTTGTCCTTGGGCGGCTCAGAGACACCATGACACACAGCGCTCCATCCCGCAGCACAGGGCTCAAAGTCTTAGTCTGCAGGCTGATGAGGTCTGGGTGGGCAAGCCCAGGGCTGGGGACTCCCCTGTTCCCAGTTTCACTTCTCCAGCTCCTAACCTGGGTCAGGCCATTCTGGCCTTATGACCACTTGGCGGTTCTCACCGGCTTTGGGTGACGAGATACCAGGGAACCAACCAGCGTCGCCGCGGGCAATGGTTCTAAAGTCCACGCAGACCGTGCAACTCAGAGTCGCCCCAGATCTGAGATGGGGCGATGGCACCTCACTGGCTGCTCCTGCTGCTGGCGGCCGCCCTAGTCCAGACCCAGACCCGCGCGGGTGAGTGCGGGATCGGGAGGGAAACGGGCTCCGCGGTGAGGGCGAGGGCGGCACCGGGAATGCCGCGTCCCCGCGTGGCCCAGCCGGACCCTCCCGCCCCATTCTCCACCCGCGTCCGAGCCCCGCGCCCCGCGCCCTGCTCCCCTCCCGGCCCGCGATGCTGCCTGGGGTCCCGGGAGCAGAGTCTGGGTCTCACCGCGCGCTGTCCCCAGGCTCGCACTCCATGCGATATTTCTCCACCATCGTGTCCCGGCCCGGCCTCGGGGAGCCCCGGTTCATCTCTGTCGGCTACGTGGACCACACGCAGTTCGTGCGCTACGACAGCGACGCGGAGACTCCACGAGAGGAGCCACGGGCGCCATGGGTGGAGCAGGAGGGGCCGGAGTATTGGGAGAGGCAGACACAGAACGCCAAGAACAGCGAACAGATTTACCGAGTGAGCCTGAGAATCCTGCAGGGCTACTACAACCAGAGCGAGGGCGGTGAGTGACCGCGGTCGGAGGTCACGACCCCTCCGCGTCCCTACCCACCAGCCAGAGTAGCCTAAGGTACCAGGAGAGCAGGGACGAGACATGGTTTCGCTTTCAGTTTAGAGGAGGGCACGGGTGAAGGGGGCAGGGCAGGTGAATGGGGCTGACCGCGGGATCCCCACAGGCTCTCACACCATCCAGCGGATGTATGGCTGTGAGGTGGGGTCGGACGGGCGCCTCCTCCGAGGTTATCATCAGGCCGCCTACGATGGCCGATGGCCGCGATTACATCGCCCTGAACGACGATCTTAAAACGTGGACAGCAGCGGACACTGCGGCGCAGATCACCCAGCGCAAGTGGGAGCAGGCTGGTGTTGCAGAGATACACAGGGTCTACCTGGAGGGCGAGTGCGTGGACTCTCTGCGCAGACACCTTAAGAACGGGAAGGATGCACTGCTGCGCACAGGTGCGGGGCCGCGGGCAACTCCTCCCTCTGCCCTCGGGCTGGGCTCAGTCCTGAGGAAGAGGAAACCCTCACGGGGGTCATGCCCCTGTCTCTGAGGGCAGACAGGGTCCCTGGGTCTCCTGATCCAGCATGGCAGGGACTGCACTGACCTCCCAGGGCTCAGCCTTCTCCCTGGACAGTTCCACATCTGTCTCAGGAGGGAGGAGAGAGGATCCCGACATCACCAACAGTGGCTCCTTCAGTCTGCAGCCCCTGTCAGCCATGGCCTCTCCCAGGCCGGGTTCTCTGCCCACACCCAGTGTGTGTGGACTCTGACTCCTGTCATCTGAGTGTGTCAGCCTTACACACCAGGACATAGCAGTATCTTTACCTGATGGGAGACTGGGCGCCATACCTAGGTTTGTTCCCCCGGTGTCTAGAACTTTTCAAATAATAAATTCTCATAGAAGCCTGTGTGAGGTTTACATGCCTCCAACACCCCAATTCTATCTTTTCCTAGAATGGTCAAGTGGGAACTTATGGGGTGCCTTAGACAAATACTAAATTGTAGGGTTTTTTCTTTTCTTTCTTGCTTTTTTTTAAGTTGTCATTTTGGTTTGAGCGAGTTTCTCTTCCTCTCTGGGGAGGTCTTGTTTCTCTGTCCCCTTTTATTATCATGGGTTACAGTCTCCACAGGTGCCATTCGGGACTGACACTCTGTAATGAGACAAGTTAAGATAGGGTTCCCTTTAGAGGAGAAAAATTACTGTGAATTTAGACTATTTTCTGCCAGAATTAACGGTTCTGAGCCCCCTGCTCTCCTTCAGCCCCACCAAGTCACAGTGTTGCCCTAGTGAATTAAGAATTGAACTTCCTCAGAGACAGGGTCTTCTGCAACTCCAGGACTGGAGTGACAGGGAAGATCCACACACCCTGTGAGCACCACTGTGTCCCAGTGAGTGCTGCACTGGGCTCCACAGCACACTTCAGGGACCCTGGGTGACCATACCTGGTATGTTGTCCCCCCAGATGCAGGGGTTAGGAAGTCATTTTCTATGTAGAGTCACAGGTTCACCTCAATTGTTCCACACATTTTGGTGATGGCTGTTCACTTGGATTCACAGTTAAAGTGGTCAGCAAGATGGCCACAGTGCTTGTTCCCCAATGGTGGCACCAGGAGTTGGTGGCACCCTTCATGTAGCCCGATCATCTTAATTTCTTATTCCTGTAGGAGTTTAATCACATATATAAGTCAATTATTTTCCATTCCTTCATCCTTTTTCTACCTCACTTATGCTATTGAAAGTCAAATATGATCATGCTGACCTGCTGGCTTATATAGATTCCCTCTTAGTTTCTAGGCCCCTGAGAAAAATGTGCAGTTCTGTGATGAGGGGACCAGCTCTACATGCAGGTCACTAGTGTGATGACAGAAGTGTTCAAATAGTGACATAGTTCAGTGTTATCATTGATTTAACTTTGTTTTTACAGATTTAAGTTTATCTTGTTAATTGTGGGATTTCTTTTTTTTTTTTTTCGAGACAGGGTTTCTCCGTAGCTTTTGGTTCCTGTCCTGGAACTAGCTCTTGTAGACCAGGCTGGCCTCAAACTCACAGAGATCCGCCTGCCTCTGCCTCCCGAGTGCTGGGATTAAAGGCGTGCACCACCACCGCCCGGCAATTGTGGGATTTCTTAAATCTTCCACTCAGATCCCCCAAAGGCACATGTGACCCATCATCCTGGATCTAACGGTGATGTCACCCTGAGGTGCTGGGCCCTGGGCTTCTACCCTGTTGACATCACCCTGACCTGGCAGAGGGAGGAGGAGGAACAGACTCAGGACATGGAGCTGGTGGAGACCAGACCTTCTGGAGATGGAACCTTCCAGAAGTGGGCATCTCTCATGGTTCCTTCTGGGAAGGAGCACAAATACACATGCCATGTGTACCATGAGGGGCTGCCTGAGCCCCTGACCCTGAGATGGGGTAAGGAGGGAGTGGATGCAGGGCTGGGGTCAGGGAAAGCTGGAGTCTTCTGCAGACCCTGAGCAGGGTCAGGGCTGAGAGCTGGGGTCGTGACCCTCACATTCTCTTCTTGTCCTTCCCTTCCCAGAGCCTCCTCAGTCCACAGTCCCCATCATCGCAGTCATTGCTGGTCTGGTTCTCCTTGGAGCTGTGACCATCATTGTAGCTGTGGTGGTTATTGTGAGGAAGAGGGGGAGAAGCACAGGTAGGAAAGGGCAGGGTCTGAGTTCTCTCTCTGCCCCTTTTAGAAGTGTGCTCTGCCCCATTAATGGGAAACACATCCACACCCTCATTGCTGCTGTCTCTAACCTGGGTCTGCTGTCAGTTCTGGAAACTTCTTAAGGGTCAGGGACTTCTCTGGTCTCTTACAGCTTTTCTTCTCACAGGTAGAAAAGGAGGCAACTATGCTCCAGCTTCAGGTAAGAGTGGTTGGCAGGATTGTCCCTGAGGCCTGTGGGGTGAAGCTGGCATATTTGGGGAGTTCTGGTAACACATAATAGCTCTTTCAGCAAATCTTCTAGGAACCAAATTTTTACCTTCCCATGAATACATATATTTTTACCCTAGACAGGGACAGTGACCAGAGCTCTGATGTGTCTCTCCCAGACAGTAAAGGTGAAACTCTTGGGACTGATTTGGGGAGGAACAAATTGGACATGATTGGATTTCAGAACTCCCAGAATCATGTTTAAGTGAGTGGTGGGTGGTTGGGATGTTGTCTTCACAGTGATTGTTCATGACTCTTGTTCTGTAGCGTGAAGACAGCTGCCTGGTGTGGATGGAGTGACAGACGATGTGTTCAGGTCTCTCCTGTGACATCCAGAGCCCCCAGTTCACTCTCAGTAAGAGTGTCTGTTGTTCCCTGTGATCCTATGGGCTCAACGTGAAGAACTGGGGAGCCCAGCCAGCATATCAGGACACTGTCCCTGCACTGCCCTGTTCCCTTCCACAGCCAACCCTTCTTGTCCTGCAGACAGGAGGGGACATCTCCATCCTGTCTCCCCCATGCTACCTTAAATTGCAGCCCCTGACTTCCCCACTGAAAATAAGAATCTGAATGTGAACTTGATTGATTATATCTTTGATCTGACAGTTTGATTGGCAGCTAAATTAAAGGATTGAGCTAGAGTTTGTGGAGGAAATAAATGGCAGCGTGGAGAATCTCCCAGAATCTGTGTTCTGTGCTCTGTGCATCTGGTGGGACAGGATGAGGCTGTGGGAGCTGAGTGAGAACAGGGCTGTGCCCAGGTGGAGCTCAGTGCGTTGTTGAGATTGACAAGTTCACTTGTCAGCTCTGTCTCCTCCTGGCTCAGTTCTCTTGGTCACTTAGAACCAAATGCTGACATCTGTGATCACAGGGACACTGGGATGGCCAGAGCCTTGTCCTGTCCCCGGGATTATGAGGCGCCAGGGCTGCTGTCTTGGCTGTGATCTTTTCCTTGTCTTCAGTTTTTATTTCTTGTCTGTTTAGTTAGTAAGGAGGACTAGGCTTGTTCCTGTTCCTGTGAGTGGTGTCAGCCTCATTATCCTGTGGGGTCCCTGAGTGACAGTATTAAGAGGTGTTTTCTATCCTTATCCCCTCAAGGCCCAACTAGGCCCCTGCACTTAGGAGACTGTGGGATGAGAACATGAGGTTCAGTCTCCTGAGCTCCTGCCTCCCTTCAGGCCCCTCCCTGAAGGTTCTCTCCCTCTTTCCCATCTATCAGAATCTAACCCGGGTTGTAGGATAGGAAGAGAGGAGGGATCCACAGGGTCTCATCTCAGATCTATCCTGTGGAGCCGGGCGATGGTGGCGCAGGCCTTTAATCCCAGCACTCGGGAGGCAGAAGCAGGCGGATCTCTGGGAGTTCGATCTCTGTAGACAGCCTGGTCTACAGAGCTAGTTCCAGGACAGGCTCCAAAGCCACAGAGAAACCCTGTCTCGAAAAACCAAAAACAAAAACAAAAAAAAAGTAATCAAATCTATCCTGTGTTCTGCCCAAGTCCCCTCTCCCTTTCTACCTCTGGGAATCCTGGTTGTTTCCTCAAGTGAAGACTGGTGTGGGATAATTGTATTCTGTCAATCATGTTTTAAATAAATGCTGATTGGCCAGGCAGGAAGTATAGGTGGGAAAAAACAGACAGGAAGTAAAGGTGGAGCAAAGAGAACAGGAGTATTCTGGGAAGGAGGAAGCTCCCTCAGCCATTCCTGCCCATACTACTGAAGAAGCAGGATGTGACCTGCCTTGTGGCTAACATAGATAAGAATAATGGATTAATATAAACTACAAGAGCTAATAAGTAGCCTGAGCTAATGGGCCAATCAGTTTATAATTAATGCAGACTCTCTGTGTGGTTTTCTCTGGGATTAAATGGCTGGGGGACCGGGTGGGAGAGAAACCCCAACAAGCAGGCCCTCATGTTACAGAATGCTGCCCACGTGTTACAGAACAGGCTGAGTCTACTTAGATTTGTGTTTATTAAAAAACATGATTCAGATAAGGACAGGACTGAGTCAGCAACCTAGGCCAGAGCAGGTCTGAGGCTGCAATCTCCAACCTGGGTCAGAGCAGGCCTCAGACAGTGAATTCCATGAGAGCGGGAGCAGATGCAGACCAGGGACATGTGTGGAGGCAGGACTGAGCCAGCAACCTGGGCCAGAGCAGACCTGAGACAGTGAACTCCACAAGAGCAGGTACAGGGGAGCAACCACTGAGCAGTAAGCCAGAGACCAAGACCTCTGTAGGTCCAGACGTGAAATTGGGTCCTTCAGGGAATAGACCTGAGCAAAGGACCCTGTGAGTCTGGGTATCATTCGAGGACTACCGAGGAACGAGGCTAGAGCCAGGACCTCTGTGGTTCTGGGCATGAGTCAGGGACCTCAGGGGGAGTAAGCCTGAGCCCGGGAACTACAAGGAGTAGATGACAGCCAGAGTCCTTTAAAGGACCAACCCCGAAGCCAGGGACTTCTGCAGGAATGGATCCAGACCAGGGACCTTTAAGAAACAGGTCTGAGCTGACAACCTAGTCTAGAGCAGGCCTGAGACAGAAAACTCCGATTAGAAGACCCAGATATTAATCTGTGGTAGGAGCTGCGGGCCGCTTCCCGCCACCCGGCTCCCGCACTGCTAGCTTTACCCAAAATAATTACACAGAAATTGTATTCTTTTCAACACTGCCTGGTCCATTAGTTCTAACCTCTTATTGGCTAACTCGCACATCTTTATTAACCCATATTTAGTAATCTGTGTAGCCCCACGAGGTGGCTTCCCAGAAAAGATCTTAACCTGTGTCTGTCTCGGAGAAGAGAGTCATGGCGACTGCTTGAATCTGCTTCTTTCTCCCAGCATTCTGTTCAGTCTACTCCACCCACCTAAGGGCTGGCCTATCAAAGGCCAAGCAGTTTCATTATTAATTAACCAATGAAAGCAACAGATAGATGACACTTCCACATCATTAATCCACAAACATTCAATCACCTGATTTTTGACAAAGAAACAAAAAAAATAATCAACTGGAAAAAAGAAAACATAGTTAACAAATGGTGCTGGCATAATTAAATATCAACTTATAGAAGAATGAAAATAGATCCATGTCTATCACTATGCACAAAACTCAAATTCAAATGGATCAAAACCTCATCATAAAGCCAGCCACACTGAACTTTATAGAAGAGAAAGTGGGAAGTATATCTGAACGCATTGGCACAGGAGACCACTTCCTAAATATAACCCCAGTAGCACAGACACTGAGAGAAGCAATTAATAAATGGGACCTCCTGGAACTGAGATACAATCCCAGAGAACCTAGACAACAGTGAAAACCCTAAGAGAGACTTACATAGATCTAATCTACATGGGAAGTAGAAAGTAGAAAAAGACAAGATGTCCTGAGTAAATTGGAAGCATGGGGACCTTAGGAAAGAGGTGAAGGGGAGGGGAGAGGCAGAGGGGAGAAGAGAAAAATGTAGAGCTCAATAAAAATCAATCCACAAAAACATGATTCATGGGCTGAAGAGATGACTCAGGGCTTGAGAGCACTTGCTGCTCTTGCAGAGGACCCAGGTTCAGATCCCAGCACTCACTTGATGGCTCATAACCATCCTTAACTCCTGTTATGACCAGTGAGCTGAGGGTTTACTCAGCTGATGGTGGATGGATGTTTTCCTTGGTCTGCCGTCACTGTCTCTATCTGGAGTGGGGGAAATCCAGTCCTCATGCAGGGGGCACCACTATGTCAATTGTTTATGTAAATTTTTCTATTATTAATAAAACTCGGGGATCAGATATTGTGGTAAAAACCTGATAGATCAAGAAAGGAGTGGAGAAGCAACCAGCTGACCCTGTCTCTTCATGCTTCCCACATTGAAGAGGCCCATGAATCTTTCCAGGCCTACCCTTCTCTTTCCTCTGCCTCTATCATACTGTATTCTGGGTCCCCCACAATGTCATGGCTAATTCCAGACAGCTAGTTCTTGACTCCGCCCCCTGACTCAAGGATAACTTTATTGACAGTCTTGAGTTTCACAGTACAATCAACTATCCCTCTTGATTTCCCCCTTTGATGGAGGAAGGTCATTGGCTAATAAAGGAACTGCCTTGGCCCATTTTATTGGTTAGAGGATAGGTAGGAGGAGTAAACAGAACAGAACGCTGGGAGGAAGAGGAAGTGAGCTCAGAGTCTCGACAGCTCTCCTCTCGGGAGCAGACACCTGAGAGAGACGCCATGCTCCTGGCTCCTGGGTCGGAGCCCCGCCACCCTTATTACTTCACCCCTTGTCTACATAAAAAGGAAAAGTTTTAACTCTAACATAGTAAAGCTATGTACAATAAGAACACTTATCAGGTAGGAATTACATTTACATGCAGCAGTAGAGGGCGCTGGAGATGCACACCTTTAGTTCCAGCAGTAGAGGGCGCTGGAGATGCACACCTTTAGTTCCAGCACTCGGGAGACAGAGGCAGGCTGATCTCTGTGAGTTCCAGGGCAGCCTGGTCTACATAGTTAGTTCCAGGGCAGGCTCCAAAGTTACAGAAAAAACTTTTCTCAAAAAAAAAAATCTACAATGTTCAATCCATTTGTATTTGACAAATTGGTAGAAATTATTCTATTATCTGTCATACCTTAGTGAATTCAATGCTTTAAACCTAAAACCCTTTCCAACGTAACTTCTATTACTATCCTAAAACTACTGCTTTAGACCTCAGACATTTCTAAGATAAACATCTGAAGCTTTTATGTCTCTCAACCTTATAAACCATACATCTCTTTGTAAGTTTCTTTTCTGAATTTTGTAGAAAAATAAAATGGTGAAACTATCTAATTTTCAACCACATCAGAGACCTGAGAAGGATAAGTATTACCTAAATGTTTAGGAAATGTTCAGGAAGTGTAGCACAAACAACTTTCTTTTGGTGGGGGGGGGGTTGAGACAGGGTTTCTCTGTGTAATAGCACTGAGAAATGTCCTGGAACTCATTTTCTAGACCAGCCTGGCCTTGAACTCACAGAAATCCACCTGCCTCTACTTTTTGAGTGCTGGGAATAGAGGCATGCATCACCACCGCCCGCCTGGCTCAAACTACTTTCAAAACTACAGTAATGATAGAGCCAACTGGCTGCCTAGACAATCACCCAAGGTTTCTTCGCAATGTTGTGGCATTCAGCTTTGGCCGACAAACCTAGAATGTCTGACTTGTCTGTGGAGAGGAAATTTTGAAGGACTGTCATATCCTGTTTTAGGAGAGTTCAGCAGTCGCCTTTCTTTGTGTCCTGCTTCTCCAGTTTGCTCATCTTACCGTCAGCAGTTGAGGCGAGGGCAGTTTCTTGTCCAATGGTTAGCTTTTCTACATAGAGAGCAAAGTCCATATGAAGTTCCCCAGTGCCCATCAGCTTATCTGAAGGAAATTTGTGCTTTCCAGAGCAGATGTGTCTCACTCTCATGAAAAGCCTCATGTTATTAAAACATCTGAAGTGCCAAAGTCTATCATACTCTGAAGTGTTTGAAGCCTATCTATCTACCTATCTATCATCTATCTATCTATCTATCTATCTATCTATCTATCTATCTATCTAAGACTGTCTATCTGTTCAACCTTGAAAACATACCTAACATGACTACAAGTTTGACTGTTATGGGTGACTAACTACTAACCTGCATTTCTTAATTATCCTAAATATTTATATTAATAGC